CAAATATACACTCATATACATATTTATATGTTTCATATTTATCATTTTGTCAAATGATATAGATATGAAACAAATATACACTCATATACATATTTATATGTTTCATATTTATCATTTTGTCAAATGCATATATTGTGCAAAACTTTATTTTATATACATATTTATATGTTTCATATTTATCATTTTGTCAAATGCATATATTGTGCAAAACTTTATTTTTTGCATAATATTGAGTTTTTAGTTTGTAGCCTTCATAATAATAGTTTATATCATTTCACTAAGTCTATAAACTTATTCAAAAGTTTTCAAAACATTGTTTAAGCCAAAATATCAAAAACATGTATGTTTAGTTTTTATGTTTTGGACTAGTTTTGAAAAATCATCACTTTTCACTATTGAGAAGTGCAATTCCAAAAATATTTTTTGTAACATGTTTATTATCATTTTTACAATCATTCCCCAAAGTTTTATAATTTTTGGAATTTATTTGCTATTTTTAATGGCACTTTAAAAATCAGTTTTACTATTTATTACAGTCTGATATTATGTTATCAGTCGACTGATGCAAGTGTTCAGTCGACTGAAGAAATCACCTGGAATTGCTAGAAGTTTTTTTTTTATTCAGTCGACTGATGAGGTCTTCAATCGACTCATAAGATCTTCAGTCGTCTGATGAGCTGTGAGCTGCCTGTAACGGTCAGCTCATCAGTCGACTGATCGAACCCTTCAGTCGACTGATGTTGTAACAGCTAGTTTTTTTTTGTTTTTATCTATTTTGGGTTTTTAATCTTTTTGCCTTGTTTTCTCTTTCCTTTGGGGTTTCTATAAATACCCCCACATATCCTCAGTTTATTTCATCTAAGAGAAAATTTATAAAATAGAGTTTTAATCAAGTTTTACAAGGGTTTAAAGTTTGTTTAAGTTTTGTTTCAAGTTTGTTTTGTGAAGAAATTTTCACAAGAGAAAGATGAGATTATCCATTCTTGTTTGGGCTTCAATCTATATCCCTCCACTCTTGTTTTAGAGAAGTTTTCTTAAACTCGTTATCTAGCTTATTTATGATTAATTTGTCATATTTATTTTTGCTAGATTAAATTGAGTTTATATTTAATTTTACTCTTTGTTTACATACACAACCTATTGAGCTTTTAGTATTTCATACATAGTATATTTGAGGTTGTGGGTTTGTGACTTAGAATGTGAGCTTTCATTGTGTTCTCATCCATTATAGAGAATAATTTATTTGTATTTATGCTTAATTTGTGAGTTACACTTGTACGCTTAGAGGAGTGTGTGGTGAGAGATAGGGTCATCCCAAGAGGAGTGGCGTCGGTAGTAAATCCTAGGGAGATGTTATAAATCCGAACACTTGAGGGAGACACTGGCTAGAGACCAACACATAGAGAGTAAAGAGTATGATTGCAAGAGTATTGATTGTAAAATTTTCGGTGAGCTAGAAAACCGAGCGTGAGGTGCAAATGTTTTTGGATGAGCGTTGAAAACCCAGTGTGATAGTGGATTTCTCACCGGGAGTGTGGAACGGAGACGTAGGACGGAAGGTCCGAACTCCGTGATCATTTCTTGTAAGTTTGAGTTTGGCTTGTGCATTTATATTTTGTTTATCTCTCTCGCCATTCTCTCATTGTCTAATTTATCCACTATATTGTTTGTGTTTGTTTATTTTACCCTTTGTTTATATTGCTTATCCTTGCATATATCTTGTAGTATATCATATTTGCTAGGATATTTGTTAACTAGTTTTAATTGGTATTAAATCGGATTAGATTAGCATAAACCCTATTCACCCCCCTCTAGGGTTCTTTTCTAGTAGGATTAGGGTTTAACATAATAATCTTAAGATCGACTTACTCTTTAATATCATTATTAATTGATGTATCTATGCATTACACTGAAAACACAATGAAATTATAGAAAACTACAAAAGAAACACCCTTAATAGTTTTAAAAATTATAAAAAACACCCTAAAAATTTATAATTTACAAATAAACAACTATTAAACATTACATTAAAATCAAGGAATTACAAAAAATGATTGAAAATTTTCAAACTTTGGAGGGGTAATTTGCAATGTAGTAAACTTTAATGGTATTTTTTTGTAAATTTCAAATTTAATAGGTTTTCAATTAATTATATTCTTTTTAGAAAAGTTATGAGTAATATTGACCATAAAAAGTTTTTCCTAAACCTATACTTTTAAAGGGAGTATGATATTTTTTGTAAATTTTTAATTTTTTAGGGGTTGTTAGTAATTTTGTATATTCATTTGTCTATAGGTTAGAAATTCTTATGGTGTTTTTTTGTAAATTATGAATTTTAAGGGGTTTTACAATATTTTAAACTTATAGGCCTTTTCTACAGATTGTAAATTGTTTATAGACTATTTATAACTTATATGTTTTTAATTTACTAATGAGTTATAAATTCTCAGGGTGTTTTTTGTAAAATTTGAAATTTAAGGTTTTGTTTGTAATTTTTGAAATTTTAAGGGCGCTTTATATAAATTATAAATTATATAGGAGATATTTATAATTCCTATATTTTCAATGTATTGTTAGGTTAGAAATTATTATGATTTTTAAAAATTTTACAATTTTAAGTTTTTATTTTGCAATTTGTAAAAAATTCAGATTGTTTATTCTAAATTCCATAAATTTTTAGGGGTTGTTTGTGTTATTTGTTGGTTTTTGGTGTGTTTATAGGTTTGAAAGGTACAATGTGTTTTTTATAAATTTTAAATTTTTAGGGGTGTTTTTGTAATTTTTCAAAACTTATAATATATTTTCTCCAAAGTCAAAAAACTTTTAGTTTCTAGCTAGTATATATTTTTCAAATTTCTCGCTGAATTAAAATAAGTAAAATTTATAATTTTCAAGATGTTTTAATAAATTTTTAAATTTAGAGGGGTATTTTTACAATTTTAAAAAAAAAATTAGAGGATATTTTTTTCAAAGTCTAAAAATTTTTAGTGCTGGCTAGCATGTGTTTTTTAGATTTCTAGGAATTGAAATAAATAAAAAAACTTGAATTATATCAAATGTATCTCCTTTATCCAATAACACTTTAAGTCTCATTATAAATAGGATAAATTATTTAATTACTAATTCAAAGAGGATATGATAATTAGAACAGATTAGAATAACAATGTAATATTCAAAAAAATTAAGAGTAATATTGATCATAAAAAGATTTTTCTAAACTCGTACTTTTAAAGAGAGAGTATAACAAACAATATGCCTAAGGCCCCTCCATCATGATTCCAGCTCATGCTAGCAGTTGATTAGACATGCTAGTTCATGATTAGACATGTCAGCTGGCTTAAATCCTAAATTTATCCTCCTCTTTCTCATGCCAGTGGATGTTAACTCTTTGCAATTAACTCTTGCAGGTAACATGTTAACTTTTACTGCTAACATGTTAACTCTTACTAATGTGGCCACAGGTAAAGTTCTCGTGACGGACGCCGATGCGGCAGAGGGGAGGGGGGCGGTGGGAGGAGGCAAGGATCGAAGGAGGAGGGAGGGTGGTGTAAGGGGAGGTTGCAGGTGGGGAGGAGTGGGGGGAATGGGAGAGGCGAAGACGAGAGAGAAGCGGCGGGAGGGGGAGACGGGGGGAGGGGAGGGTTTTGAGGAGGTGGCATGTAGCGGGGCGAGGAGGCGGGGGAGGGGAGGCGGAGGGGAGGACGAGAGGAGGGGAGGGAGCGTGTAGGGCAGGGAGGGGGGCAGAGGGAGCTGTAGGGGGAGCAGTGTGGCGGGAGGGAGGGAGGTCGAGCGGGGAGGATGCCGACGACGCTTGGGAGGCGCTGGCGCGGGCCCAGAGCGGGAAGGGCGGGAGGCGGTGTGATGGGGGGGAGGCTAGGCGCGACGTGTCGTAGGAGGGAGGCCGACTGAGCGGAGGGAGGGAGCGTCCGGCCGGAAGGGCAAAGGGGGACCGGCAAAGGAGGAGGAGCGGAGGTGTAAGGAGGACAAAACGGTGTTTTTTAGACATGAAGGGCCTGGACGTAATTTTTTTTATATAAGAGGCTGCACACATATAGGAAAGTAAGGGGCTGTGGCACAATATGAAGTTGGGTTTTAGGCCTTGAAACAAATTTTCCAATATAATATATATATATATATATATATATTATATATATTATATAATATATATATATATATGTATATATATATAATATATAATGATATATATATACTAGTTGGATTGCACGTGCAATGCACGTGGTATAATTTTTATCATTTATTATAAAATTTTAATTTTATTTTGGGAAAGATTTGTTATTAAATTATTGAATGTAAGCAATGGATCAAATATATAGACATAAAATAAAGTCATTGGACCTTATGCGACGTCAAAACGAATAAGTTGAAATCTTTTAGACATTTGGATATAACAACTAAGAATCACACTAATAACCTCATTGAATGAATGGGATACTTGGATTGAACATTAAATCTTTTGTGTCCTATAACAAAATAATATGACCAACATTAAAGATAGAATACAATAGAGTTGGTTCAGCAAGTGCAATATGTTTTCAAGAAAAAACATGTCAAGTAGCATAGACAATTATCTAGCATCGGTTAATCACTATGAAGTCAAGCTCTTCTCATGTCTTCTTAAGAGAAAGGATTGAGTCTTGAAAGAAGACCCCAACCAAGCAATACATTCTTAAAAAAATGGGTGATTACAATCTACTTACAGATAATCATCAAAATCCCCAACCAAAGAATAAAATGAAGAGTATCTCTCATTACATCACACCAAAAAAAAAACATAAAATTCCCTAGTTGTATACATCAAAAACCTATCAAAACAACTCCTAACATACTCACACCAAAAAATTGGAACATTAGCAACATTTAGCAATAAAATATAGAGCTTAAAAACATCTTCATTCACCAAAGACCTGACCTCAACTAAATAACATCAAATTGTTGATCTCCTAGTAGCTCCCCATGTCTCTTACTGTTTCGCTATGGTTTTATGGTCATAGGAAAGGCTAAAACAATAAGAAGGACAAATCAAGACATATAACCTTCTGAACACAAAGTTAAAGGAACATGAAACCGGGATGCATAAGGAATTAGAGCAGATGACCTAAGTACTGATTGAATCATTGATAATGAACAAAGCAATATAGAAATAAATCTCTCCTATAAAGAACATTCTTTTTAAACAAATACCCATTACATCTATAATATTTCTTACATTATAATATCTGCCAACATTTCTTACATTAACATCTATAATATTTGTTATGCTATAGAGTCTATCAATAGAATAATTAAGCTAATAGACGCAAATGCGTTTTGGCTAACTATCATTCTCTAAGTTATCATATGACTTGTAGCTTGTAAGCTTAATAATTTCCTTTAGCAATTGCATTATCAATTTTTATATGTATCATGAAATTAGTACTTTCCTCATAGTAATTTCAATTGGCATTTGAGCTCATATTTGCTTACATGAATTAATATATTGTAAGATATTTGATAATGTACCCATTTAGTAAAAGTTTACTCTCTAATAGGAATTTCCAAATTTCAGAATCTTTAGTATATAACAATTGAGTCAATTACAATTATTATTAAACAACTAAAAAACGAAAGGGAAAAAAATAAAGCTCTCTAGACAAAATATATTAAACTACTATATCTACTTATAGTTCTAACAAATGAGCGAAAGGGATATAGCCTATGATGATTTGTTGAAGGTAAAAAAGGTTAAATTTTTTTTTTTTAAATTCGAGCCCAAGGTAGTTATGATTATAATAATATACCATTATATCTGTGAATTTTAAGGTATATGCAAAATTTCACAAGGTTCAAATCTCTCTAACCCAATTTATTTTATTTCATCAAGTACTATAAATGCACATTATCACTTACACTGATATGAACAGTCTCAAATCTTTTAACTTAATACATAAGCATGATTTGACAAAATCTTGTGGTTAGTTATGCTCAACAAGCTCATGACCAAGGATAAAGTTAAAGCTTAGGGGAGAACAGATGATGCACACGGTAACCTTTATGGGCTCATAATAAAACTGTTGAGCATTTGTTCTTTAAATGCTTATTTTTAGCTCAAATATGTGATCAAATACTATCCTATATGAGGCTACAAGGAAGACATAAGTCTTGGATTAGATTCAAAACATGGTCATTGTGCAAAATTTTATAATCATATACATATTTTATTAAGTCTACATAATCATTGTGCAAAGTTTCAAAACATGGTTTAGCTAAAATGTCAAAATTCACATGTTTACATTTTCATGTTTTGGCCTATTTTGTAAAATAATGATATTTTTCATTTGGGAAGTCCTTTTTAGAAACCAGTTATTGTAACATGTTTATTATCATGTCTACAATCATTCCCCAAAGTTTTACATTTTTTAGAATTTATTTGATATTTTTAAACAGTATTTTAAAATCAGAAAACTGTTTAAAACTATAAAATTTCAGATATCAGTTCACGGTCGACCGCCACGGTCGACCGCGCCTGAGTCTTTTCCATAGTGGGTAGCAGAAACTTTCACGGTCGACCGCCACGGTCGACCGTCAAGCTGAATTCCTCACGGTCGACCGCCGCGGTCGACCGTCGAACTCTCTGGAGTTTCTCCTGTTGTTTTTGTTGCTCGCGCGTTTATCCCAATGGCTCTTTTGGTATAGAATTAGATTTCTGATTCTTAGGTTGTTTGGTCTTTTCCTTTGGGGTTTTTGCTGTTGCTTCCTCTTCCTATATAAACCCCCAAACCCCCTTCTATCTCAGTAACCAATGGGATGTTTTAAACAAGTTTATAAAAGTTTTACAGGGGTTTAAGTTTGGTTTAAAGCTATTTTGGTTGGTTCACAAGTGGAGGAGATCATCTACATTGTTTGAGCTTCCTTTTAATCCATCTCTCCATCTTGTTTTTCAGAGAAGAATTCCTAAACTCTATTTCTAGCTATTTATTGTTTTATTCATAATTTCTATATGCTAGATTTTATTTGAGTTTAGTTGTTTTATTTATTCTCATTGTTACACACACCCACATGAGCTTTTAGTATTTACATACATAGTATATTAGGGTTGTGAGAAATTATAACATTGAGTTGAGCTTTAATTGAGTTCTCGCATTGTATTAGAGAACAAATCATTTGTTATCTTTGTGAGATTGCAAAGTTTTCAGTTAGCTAGAAAATCCGAGTGTGAGGAGTGGACGTTGATCGGTGAACGTTGAAAACCGATATTGTGAGTGAGTGTATACGTTGATCGGTGATCGTTGAAAACCGACATAGTGTGGTTGTAAACGTTATTCAGGTGAGCGTAGAAAACTCAGTTGTGATAGTGGATTTCTCCCCGGGAGAGGGGAGCGGAGACGTAGGACGAAAGGTCCGAACTCCGTGATCATATCGTGTGTTTGAGTTTGCTTTGACGCACTTAATCTTATGTTTATATTTATTATCGCCATTGTCCATAGCTCATTATTTTTATCATCCACTATCTATTTCATATTGTTTACCCTTGTGTTAGTTTACATATCCTTGCATATATCATATTGTATATCTCTTTGCTAGGATACATCTATTTGTTCATATTGCTTATCCTAGCTTACATATCTTGTTGTATTTCATACTTGCTAGGATAACTTATTAATTAATTTTAATTGGCATAAAATCGGATTAGATTAGCATAAGACCCTAATCACCCCCCTCTAGGGTCTAACAACAACTATATACTATATTTAGCAGGAACGAAACTGCAGACAATTTAGAGGCATTAGCAATTCCCTCACAGGATTGCTCAATAAAATTCATAGCTTGATGGCCTGCAAATTGGTGATTTTAAATGACACTAACTTATATTTGTATATTGTTCTCTCATGCAGCATTGTGATGTTTTTTCTTGCTGTTGGAAGCCTACTTTTGTTATACTTTGGAATGCCTAAGTACCCTTGTACACCTGATAATCAGTGAAATATTCTTTACCTATGAAAAAAAAGTCATCACTCAATTTGGTTACTCAATCGCATGTCGCATTCCTATCTCACACAACTTGGACGAAGTATTGCCTTCTTAGTGATAATGCTTCAGAGTATTATGGATTAGCAAGATGTATTGCAAGCTTGCAACTTTGCAAGAAGCCTTAGAGCTTGAGTAAAATAAAGAATTTTCACTTTCAAATGGCCATGAAAGATTAACATAGAATCACATTGCCATACTAACCTAAAGCCAATGAGTCTTACATTTAAGCAAAATAAAGTTCAGTGGGATAGCAATGCATCTAATCTACGAAGTGTAATTATAAGCAAAAGTAAGAGATATTCTCCTTAATTTTTAAATAGGAGTAAAAATTATGAACGATCATTCTGATATCAAATAGTTACTCAAAGCTAATCATAACACAATCATACAATTTAAAAAACAAACATTGGTAATGTAAGTCTTACCCTTGATTGATCCACCTCTGGATCTACCAGGGAAACCACTCCTGCAAGTGTTTCAAGTGTTGTCCCTGCAACCGTACAAACATGAAAAGTGATCAGTTTGATCAAGTACAACAGTAGTTGTACTTAGCAGTTATAACATTAACATGAGACGATTTCCAACCAATCAAAGTGATGCAATAATTACAAAAGACATAAACTGGTAAATGTAGCATCTAGTGTTAAGTTATTTTCATCATAGATACCAAGAAAGGTAAAAGATTTCAGTACCAGCAACATAAGTGCTGGATTCAACACTGCTAGAATCATATCGTCATCTTCCATCACTTTGACTAAGCGACTGATGTAATAATGGTTTAAGTTATACCACTTCACTAAATGGAAAAGTAGCAAAAAAGAAAAAGAATACATAGGAGTTGAAAGCTTATCACCTTTATGGAATCAAAAACACTACAGGCATCTGACAGTGACACATCAAAACATTGATTCTGCATCAGAAAAATGAAAATATGTTTTTTATGTTTATAAAGTTTCAAATAATAACATAACACATTGAAGATCAAAGAGAAGGCAATTAAGGATGTAACTATATCAATAGAAATAGAACTCGAACATAATAAACTTGTGTATCAGCTAAAATAATAACAAACAATTTAGTACAAAACAAACAATGCAATGTCTAATTTGATCTCACAGGATATTTTCGGTAAATAGTCATATACAACACATTATACAAAAGAATATACCGATATCATAAGTAATCACGAGTTCTTCATCAATCTCAGGGCTCCACTCCTCAACATGCAATCTCTCTGCCAAATTCCCCCACTCATAAAACTCAAAGAAAAACAAATAATTTGGAGGCCTCGCATGAGCAATAACCAACTTAGCCAATCAAGGATGATCCACTTCACTTCACGCTAAAAAAAACCAACATCAAAATTATCCATATTGGTCAACATGAGCACTCCTAAAATCCCAACTTTAAGTGAAAACCACCTAAAGGAGTGTAAACTTTCTTACCACCACAGTTGAAGTTCTCTGTGGAACTTGTCGAGGTCATTTGAAGAGGAAAGGACAGGTTTTTTGATGGTGACTCTCCGGCCATCGAGCCTCACGTTGTAGTCGACGGTGCTTTCAGAACCTTGTGTTTGGTGAAATCAAAGGAGAGTCTCAGAATGGACTAACAAAAAATTAGAGAAAAGACATAGGGGGTTTGGTGAAAGTTTACCTTTAGCGATAAGGGAGAGGAGAGAGAAGGAAGAGGGAGGGAGATGGAGCGGGATTGACTTGCTCGAGCAGCTCTCTTCAAACAAAACGGGAGGTATAATCAGTTGAGTCTAGCATTCCTGTGCAATTCCCCACAATTCTCTTCAACAAAAAGAAGATGTATGGGTAATTCAATATCAACATAAAAATTTTGGGGCAAAACAATTTTTTTTTCTTAGCTAATAAAGATACCTTACTGGTTTTGGCATCAATCTAACATCTAAGAATGTTGTTCAATCTCAATGCATGAAACACATCCTTCGTTGTAGAAGAAGACGAACCGAGTTTTTCCACAACAAGCGGGCATGTTGCCAGGCTACTTTCGGAAACCTTTTTAGAGTCCTAGAATCCGAAATGTTCTCACTGTTCCATGCTATATTTAGCCTCTTCATTTCGTAACAAATTTTCCATTAATTCTTAAGTAAAAAAACTCTTAACTTGTGACAATTAGTTGGAATTTATTGGGTGTGAAAGCTTTTGATTTTATAACTCATTTTATAAATTCTTAATAATAATAAAAAACACCTCATAAATTTGCCCATTTATTAGATCCAAATTAACTTTGTTATATTTACAAAAGTTGAAGGGCAATTTGGGGTAGTGAAAGTTTTTCTAGTACTCCCTCTTTTAAAGGGTAGATGAT